TTTTATTTATTAATTTTATTAATTTTATTTTTTTTATATTTAAATTTTTAAGAATTACCAGGCATAATTTTTTTTTAAATATATTTATATCGCTCGAGCATCGCTTTTTTCTATGTTTAAAAAAAGAAGAAGAAATTGTCCGTGACCCGCGGGAAACGAAGCCACCTATCTGGTCATTATTATTGGTCGACGGGAGTAGCAGGCTGTGGACTACAGGGGGTTGAAGTTCGTAACGGCCATCAGGTGCTTGATCGTCCTACCAGCGTAAAGTACGTGTTATTGCCACATGGCGCGTAATGGAATGATATTGCCCGGCACGTCCACTTAGTCGTGACGGCGTGGGGCCACGATGTTTGATATTATTATTGTTATTAATAATAATAATAATGGCAGGTCGCTGTGTTTACTTCATGCCTAACGCCTGCATTATAATTTTCTCGTTTCTGAGAATACTTCATGAACGCAAGGGCTCGTTGCTTCCCAATGGCTAAAAGTTTGGAATTTTGCTATTAAAAATAATTGGGCAGATGGTTAAAAAGATTTACCTTTTGAATTTGAGTATTTCAATCAATGTTTTGGAAAAACCATTTATTTGAATTCATATGATATAAAATATTTATTTGTAGAATTAATAAGAAAATAAATACTTCTCTTCGTGAAAAAATATTGCTACAAAAAGAGTGTATTGTTGTTGTTTTTTTTATTACTATTATAAAAACTATTTTCCAGTGGTATAAACAAAGTTAGAAGCACATTCATACCTGTTCTATCGGTACGCATATATTCTTTCTAAGTTACCTCTGTTTTATCTAGGAGAGTTAAATAGACAGATAATTAATTGAGTGAGCGTGTTCATAGGGAAAGCATAAAGAGATTTGCATGGAAGTGCAGGACAAGCCCAATACAATAAAAACTAGTATATTTTATCATGTTTTATTATGGGTAAAATTAATTTTTTAAAATATAAAAATTATCAAAAATATAAAAAAATTAATTATATTATTAAACCTGATTAAATAGATTAATTTTAAAAACTTTCGAATAAACTCTTTGCACAATTTAAATTAGTTCAATTTAAATTAATAAATTTTAAAGGTTCAAATATAACATTAATGTTATATAAAACATAAGTTTGTTTTTAAAAAATCTTTAAGAAGATAATATTTTTTAAATATTAAAATAATAATAAATTATACAGGTTATGAATTCTATTAATTGTATATAAGACTTTAACATTTATATGTGTGTTATGTTAATATATTTATTAAATTATGAAAAAAATAATTTCATGTGAGCCAAATTAAAGAATGTAAGATATGGCCTACGGAAATGGGATGATAGACTCTTAAATGATTTAATAAATATTAATACTAAAATTTTATTGGTAAGTTTGAGAACTAGTTTTCTGTTTAATAACTATAAATTTAATATAAATGTGCTGTGAAAAGAATATATTCAGAAAATTATTCTTTAGCAACCCCTTAATTGTACTTTTTATTCTATGAAAAACATCCATGAAAATAATTGAGCAGTCGAAGAGAAATACAATTTTTTTAATCAATTTACATTCAATTTTTTTAAAAGGGCTTGTCATGGATCAAGGCACACTTCTTTAAATAATTATATAAATATACAAATTATAAAAAATATAATATCATAAATATTATAATTTATATTGGATTGACATGTTTACTATCAAAGAGAGTTTTAAGTCATCATACCAACATCGTTTTCCTCGCTAGAGATAAGGATGGGGGATGGAGGCAGCCTGAGTTTCATTATAATAGTAGGATGGCTCACGAGACCGGCCGGCCCCTTTGGAGGTTTCTTGTAATCTTTGATTTGAGCTTAATAATTCAAATGGAGAAAATTGAAACATTAACTGTGTGGTGATCTTCTGATGACTAAACGAGCGAGCAGGCTGACAGCACACCGCATGTGTATATATATATATAGATAGTCAAGTAGTATTTTTAATCACTGGCATTGAATAACGCTTTTATCGGTCTTCTTCCAGAAGCTAACCGAGCAAGCTCCTGACGACTAGAGCGTCTACATACAAAGATCATTGCCATGGACACCAAAATCGGGAGACAAAATAAATATTTTTAAGAATGATTGGTTTTATGGTAATTTTTATAGTTATAATTTAAAAAAATTATTTTATAAAAATTATTTTTAATTAAGTTTGGTTTGATATTGATATATATTTGGTTAAAACTGTGATAAAAATTGAGATTAAATAAAAAATAATTTAATATGTTTAATTATAAATATTTTTTAAATTGAGGTTATAAAATAATTTTAAAAAATATATATTAATATTAATAGTTTTAATACATACAATAAAAACTAAAGTTTTTTTATTTTTTTAAACGTACAATAATATCAGATAAAATATAATTTGAAATAAAATTAGAATTACAATTAAATTCTACAAATACTATATTATTAAATAATCTACATTTAATTTATAGAGTTTAAATTGAATAATGTTAAATATTAATTTTTTAAATAAAATATAATTAAAATAAAAATAAAATTTATTTTTTTATTTTACTTAATCAGATGTAATTTAATATATTTAACTTTAAACTAAATTTGACCGGAATAGTAGAAACAGCCTCTTCATTATACACTTCAACAATGAAATCACTTTTCACAGTTAAAAAAAAGCATCATTGTGCTGCTTTCAATGATTATGTATTTTTAACAAAAATAATAATGAGGCACATGAACAATGAATAAAATTCTATTAAATATTAAATATTTATTTTCTTTGATTTTTTTTAAAAACAGAAACAGTCACGAAAACAAACAACACTAGGAGAAACAGGCAACGTGGCCTCTGCCAAACGGAAACACATCGTTTAGATTAGGCTACATAACCCTCAGCTGATTTCACACAAAACTCTTCTAATCCTTCTCGAATGCAGTAAGATCCTCACTAGTCTCGGAGAACTCACTTTCCTCCGTTACGTACCCTCACCAATATACCAGTGCACGAAAAAGCACGTCTTGCATACATGAGGCAAGATTTGTGGTCAACGTGAGAGAGGCACCTCGCAATTAAGTCGCAATACTGGTGTAGCAGGGAGATCATGCAAATTACCCTCCGCACCCTGGCAAGATCACCACCAAGAACAAGAACAGAGGGTGGCTGGTAGATGATACCGCACTTGAATCTAGTGGGGACAAATTGAACAGTGCGCTTGGTCTTGATGGTGGCAACAGCAACATTAACGTCCTTATTGGGCACAGCATCACCATGAAACATCAGGCAACAGGCCATGTACGTACTTTCCGCGGCAAGGATCACAATTAGCTATCATAGACGAAGCTCGAAAGAGGCATGCTAATGAGAAAAAAGATCATGAACTTGGCAGAAACTAGTCAACTTGGCCCCACCACATCGATCCTTACTCAAACCATGACATCCCAAGCAAAAACTCGTAGAAAGAAAATGACTACATGGAAGGACACCATCTATCCACCCGACTTGAATATTGGCATATATATGGGCATCAAGTAAACATTGGCATATACATGGGCATCAAGCAAACAAGTTCCCTCTTTTGAGTCACCAACAAGAAAACATATAAGCACACTAAGGCTACTAAAAGTAAAATGTAAAGTGAAATATCCTGAGTTTTCCGATGATGACGAACTTAACGTTTTGGTTCCCTAAGCATGGGAGATACATCCTAGACGGGGGTGCGTTTTACCGAGCGGACGCAGACAAGAGAAATTAAGGTTTATATTAACCTAGAAAAAATTGCAATCAATGAGAGATTTGAGCCTGCTATTCCATGAAGTTAACAAACTCTATCAGTGCAATGTTTCATCTGTACAGATCTACATAACTTCGATTTCCCGGGGAGAAGGTACTTCTGCACGGTGTTGAGAAATTCTCATCAAGTTTAATTCTTAAGAGAAAAACAAGCTGCCAACGATCTCCAAGACAGATGGGCTATAAGCAAGGACTTGTATTCAATGAAGAAAAACCAAACGGCATAATTCCTAACATCGCTAATATTAAAGCTCTACTCTTCATTTGCTTAAAACACACTTAAAGTAGTGTTTATTGATATATAATACGCATTTATATTGTGGAATTAGACCTCTTTTTTTTTTAAACAACAATTTAATTAAAGAGAGTTTGTTGATTTCTATAAATTATCTTAATAGTATTACGACTTAATTCATAAGATAAGATTTGAAAGTTAACTTGCTCAATTTATGTTTTTCCGTTCTTTTTAATTGTTTTTTTTTAGTTTTATATTTTATTGTTAATTGAAAATTAAATTTTATAATTTATTTCAGTTTATTTTATGTAATGTTATCCTAATTTCATTATTATAGTTATGAGTTTGATAAATTAATTTAGTTGATTTATATTTTTTTATTATTTTTTTTAATTTCATCTTATAATATTTAATTAATATAAGAATTATACTTCATAATTTATTTTATTTTTCTTTTTATGAGATTAACTTGGTCTCATGATCTAAATCACGGATTTAGCAAGTTAATCCTAGTTGATCTGTATTATTTTTTTAATTAGTTTTTTTATTTTATTTTTTAATATTAAATATATTAAAAATTATAGTTCATAATTTATTTTAATTTATTTTTTATATAATTATTATAGTTTTATAATCTGAATTATGAATTTCACATATCAACCCTTATTAATTAAGACTAATTTAATATATTATTATTTTAAATTTTTCTTGAATTAAAATATTTTTTTTTACTTATTTAAATTATTTTTGAATTAATCATATAAAGAGGTAACATGAGATAATTCTTATATAATTTTTTTAAAAAAAAAATTGCTAGAAAATAAGTTATAATTTACTAAAAAAATTTATGTTTAAAAATATTTAATCCGAAGTGTCAGTTATCCAGCAGATATTTTTTGTATCGAGGAGAGGACGTAATTGTAATTATATAAAGACTGTTTAAAATATTAATACATCATCCACGAACAAAAATAATTATAAGCTGCTGGAGTGGGGAAGGAGTTGAGAAAGGAAAGAAAAGAAGGCAGAGAGAATAGTAGTAATAATAGTAGAGTTGCGAGGAAATCGAGGAAGACGAGGATGCAGTGGTACTTCGTTGCCGTACTTCTCACAATTCTCACCAGCTCCCAGGTCACTCACTTTCAAATCCCTAACTATTTCCGTAAAATCTCGATACATCTCTTTGATTTTTTTGTTTAAGTTTCGAATCTACAATTCCTTTTAGCCACTGCTATTGATTTCTTGATTATGAAAATGTAATTGAGAGTTAATAATTATAAGAACATGAGAAAAGAGAGAGATCAGGCATTTCTGTTTTGAGAAAGAAAAGATGAATAATAGAAAAACCGGATGATTGATCGAATAAGATGAGTGAATTGATTTCGTGTGCTGTGATGGTTGGAGGACGTGGAGAGCATCCGAGGAAGTTAGATTGTATTTAGAAGAGTAATTTTTATGCTTTTTTTCAGAAGATGTTAAATTATTAATAATTAACCTATCCTCCTCCTTTTATATTATGCTGGTAGGGCATTTTGACGACTCTATCTCAGAGCAATGGAAAGTATTTGTACGACTATGCCACTGTACCCTTTCTTGCTGAAGTTTTCAAGGTACTTTTTTTTTTTGGATCATGATTTGTTAACCTGTTTTGTCCATGTAATTTGACATTCCTGTTTATTTAAAAAATGCAGCTGCTTCTTTCTACTGTACTTCTTTGGAGAGAATGTCGGATATCACCGTCTACCAGGGTGACCACAGAATGGAAGAGTGTGCGCTTATATGTTATTCCTTCAATCATATATCTAATTCATAACAATGTTCAGTTTGCTACATTGACTTATGTGGATACATCCACGTATCAGATAATGGGTAATTTGAAGATTGTTACCACTGCGCTATTATTCAGGTGCCTGGTTTGTACTATGATTATGAAACTATGCCCTTTGATCCTTAACTTTCCGAGTTACATATCTTTTAGTTTGAATTTAGCATCATTGCAGTTGATCCATTGACTACCCCCTCTCTAAACTGCATTCTTTAGGTTATTCTTGAGAAGGAGACTCTCTAATCTGCAGTGGATGGCAATTGTTCTATTAGCTGTTGGAACAACCACGAGCCAGGTGATTATTTGAATTGTCTGTGCTGTTATTTAAGCTATTGTTTTTACTCTCCATGCTTTGTTTAGTACTTTGGTTTTTTGTACTTATGTACGGGAAGTTCTTATCGAGATTAAAGTCTTAACAACATGATCATTGTCTTTGTTTTAATGAGTTCTTTCATGATCCTAATTCTCTTTTGATTAACATTTATCTATAACCAGGAAAAAAAAAAACTATTTATGCCATTTCTTTTATTGTAGGTCAAAGGTTGTGGAGAAGCATCCTGTGATTCTTTGTTTGCTGCTCCAATCCAAGGCTATATGTTGGGGGTACTATCTGCTTGTCTATCTGCATTAGCAGGTGTGTACACAGAGTTTCTTATGAAGAAGAACAATGATAGCTTGTACTGGCAAAATGTACAATTATATACGTAGGTATCTTTTCTCCACTCACTGACTTTTTCCTTTCCATATATTAGTTTAGTAATGTTGCATACAAGTAGTCATGCTAGAAATCTTGATCTGATATCTTCTTCGAAGCTCGAGGACCTCTCTTTCACTTCTTAATATATTCCTGACTCTGCTCTATGTACATGCTATTTGCAATAGAGAATGTGGAGTCATTCCATGGTAAAATATATTATTATATTCATCACTATGATGGTTTAGGTATTTCCTTCCATTTCAGATTTGGCTCAATATTCAACCTGGCTCGGCTTGTCCTGGATGATTACAGAGGTGGCTACGAGAATGGATCTTGGTGGCAACGCCTTTTCAATGGCTACAGTATTACAACTTGGATGGTTGTTTTGAATCTTGGATCCACTGGCTTGTTGGTTTCATGGTTGATGAAGTATGCTGATAATATTGTGAAGGTAAATTCTTTTTTTGTGGCTTGTCATAAATCTTTCTCAGAGGATGCACACAAGCATGACAATATCCCTTGGTGCCGTGTGTCCCATAGATGCAGATGATGAGAGGATTGGTAGAAACTAGAATGCTCCCTTGATTTTTCATTTATATACTGTAGTATTGTTCTATAATATCTCCATCTTTTCAAGCTGAAGAGGGGAAGGGAGGACCAAGACCCAGGATCTCTCTGGATCTAGTCAAGGGTGGTTGCCACAAAGCTACCCTTGCTTGTCATCATTCCATACTATCTGTTTGTTCATGAATCTGCCTGAAACCATGACGGAAGAGGTCTTTGTGAGAACTTCATTCTTCTGGCATCATATGCAAAGCCATTTCCTCACAATTTATAGGATGCTCAAGCTTTATTAACTGTAATTTTCCATTTTGAACTCAAAAGTCTGCTATAGTCATGCTCATAAGACTGCTGGTAAAAGAAAAGGCTCCAGGTTTTTGACAAAATATCTTAACATGCCACCAGTGTTAGAGGATGTACGAAAGTCTTGAGTCTTTTTACTTGTAATTTAGGCCCTTTAGCCTCAAGTGCCTTTATTAAAATATTATACTTCGTTTCTCCCTGTTTCAGGTGTATTCTACATCACTGGCAATGCTTCTAACGATGGTTTTGTCTGTGTACCTCTTTAACCTCAAGCCTACTTTGCAGGTATTCATGCACTCACAGGTTATCAAATATAAAATCCTTTCTGCCTATAGCATATGCTGGTTGATTTCGATACCATCAATGATGTTTTATTTTCCTTGTCATGCTGTAGCTTTTATTGGGTACAATCATCTGTATGATGTCACTGCACATGTATTTTGCCCCTCCAAACATGCTTGTGGATTTGCCTACACAAGTCAGAGCTGCTCCTGAGAGCCTGAAAGAAGTAGCAGTTGAGCGAAGAACAGATTCCTGATGTTTCTTGCACATCTCAAAAGACTAGCCTCTGCCAATTGCTTATTGAAAGTGGCATGAAAGCAATTGTTCTGCACAGCAGGCATGAAGAAGCATGATGTCCTTTAATCAGAACCCATTCTACAAACAACTGAATTCTTCTCCACTGTTAACAAATGCTATATAACCCATCTATTAAGATTTTGGCTCTAGTTTCGAAAGAAAAAAATGGTCAATTTTGTCTAATTATTTGCAGTATCAGCTAAAAGTAGAATTCAGAATCATTATCAATCATGAGATTCTTGTAATGTAATTCCTCTTATGTCCATTTTTTTCATTGATTACGATCATCCATAAACATTGTTTTATTTGTTGATGACAGATGCTATCAAGGTTCGAGATATTTGTCAGCCCTTTTCTTCAAATTTTCCATTTAAGATTCATGAGATTTCCTTTGGTTGAATGAACGTTGTATTTTCTCGTGTATGATCTTGACCCCATCACTTCTTTTATGCCTACAGCTCTGTACTTCTATCTATTAAAAGTATTACTGCGGCAGGCTTAGAAAGTCTCGCCACATGATGCAGATTATTTAGCAAATGGTCAGCCTGTATTCGAGATGACCTCTAGAATTCAGCGAAAGAATAAAGAAGGCTAGCCTGTAGAGCTTGAAATCAATTCCTTCCATTCAAAACAAATTTAGATCTGCTGATCAAACGATTAAACCTGGTGAAGAAAGAAAGAGACGACTCATCAAAACAATAGAGTTAGGACAAAGACGAGCCCAGGCAAGACATGTTCTTCTCACCTCGCCCTAAGAGAATCCTCGCGTAAAGGTGTATTCACCTAAACAATCATGTTATGTTGAAATCCAAAAGGTGTAGAATAATGACCTTTTGATGAATGAATTGTTCAAGAAAACAGAAAATTACTATTCATTTCTGAAAGTTGGCTTGAAAGACGAACCTTGGTCTCGAAAAAAAGCAATATTATATGCTATTTTATGATTATGGTTCATATAGTAAAGAAATTCTAGCCATACGATTCCTTGAGCATTTGATTTGGAGTCTCACGTGGAGCTTTGTGTTCTTTAACATGCCCACATATTAATGCCTATCCATGGAAATCTACATTAAGTTTTTAAAGTTGCATTACATGATCAAATGCTCTCCCTTACTCTCTTGGATGCCTATATGTGTCAATTACAAGGCATGCTTATTCACAAAAGAGAGTTGAGAAACTGGCCCAACACTGCCTCTTCGGTCATCAAGCCATCAAAAGGAAACAACTGTTCTTCCTTCCAGATGCCATTGCAGGCAGTATCCCAGGTACAAGAAGAGGGACTATAGCCATGCCTGAGTAGATATTGGGCTGTTGCTGTTGGAAATGTTAACAATCATTTAGTAGGCAGTGATTATTAATGAGTGTGCCTACATGACATCCATATATTAGTGTTGACAATAATCTGCATGTCCCTGTTAAATATATTATTAATTAGCGCTAACAATTTGGTTCCTGATTGAACATGAAAATCACATATAATATGCCTTCTCATCCACGACATGAACAGGTATGATTGGTAGGACCTGATTGAAAACATCTAAAAGTCTTTAAGTACATCAAGTTTCCTGATGTATTTCCTAATTGAAGAACTCCTCTTGCATGGATAGGACCAATGTATCAGGACAAGTAATGGCTTTTCCAATTGATGAAGCTGTGCTGATTGGCTTTTCCAATTGATGAAGCTGTGCTGATTGGCATATTTACGCATGTTCAAAGCATCATTATGACTCATTACAGACGTGGTAAGTTTTTTTTTTAATTGATTATTATTTCATGAATCTTCAATACGTTATGAAATAAAAGATTCTATGAGGTAAAGTGTAAAAGATTTAATTGATTATTATTTCATGAATCTTCGAGACGTTATGAAATAAAAGATTCTATCAGGTAAAGAGGTAAAAGTGTAAAAGAATTATCTCAACTTAATAACTTAAAATATTAAATAAAATTTTAGTATATAATTTATATTATTCTTTAACACACCTCCTCAAATCAAAATACTTATTCTTTAACACACCTCCTCAAGTCAAAATACTTATTCTTTAACACACCCTTATATTATTCTCTAATATATCCCCTCAAATGAAAATACTTTGAGCTTGAAATTTGTACAGACCAACATTATTTTGTGTTTAATTTTTATTAAATAAATAAAAAAAGATGATATTCGAACTCGTGACTGCTTAGACATTAAGACTCTGATACCATATCAAAAAATCATCTCAACCTAATAGTTTAAGTTGTTAGGTGAAATCTCAAGATATGATTTATATTATTCTTTAACCAAAAAAATATAAAGTGTTTATTATATAGTAAAAGTTGTTTTTTAAAGTATTTGTTGCTTGAAAATATATTTATATAAAAAAAATTTAAATCTTTTTTAATATCAACCCAACATTTCAAAACAGTAAAAAACATAAAAAAATATATAATTTTAAAAACACACCAGTTGCACATATCAAAACAGTAAAAAACATAAAAAAATATATAATTTTAAAAACACACCAGTTGCATTCCCAAAGAAGCTCAAACACTCGACATTCATTACTATGTGATCTTTGATCTGTTTTTTTTTCATGCCTACAGCTCTGAACATTAAATATTTTGCATATATTTCTATTAAGATTAGAGAAGATATTTCACAACATGAAGTGGATTATCATATAGGATGCTAGCTTGAAAATTAAAACCCATTCTTTCCATTTTAGAATAGGTCAGTTGGTGAATCGACCAAGCACCCCAAGTGAAGAACAGGAACAACCCATCGAAGCAGGCAAAGAATAGCATGAGAGGCTGCTCATCTCGACACAAGGAAGAGTCCTTGCATGAGAAATCCCACATTTAATAATATCGCTGAGGCATGCAGCCTTTGATTATGCTCGATATTAAAATGATTGGATCTGAATTGGGTTCATCACATAAAAACGAAGTGATACAGATTTGTCCACATTCAGTGGAGCCGATTTATAGCATGCCTTTTGGATCATAAGGCCATCCCGTTCACCATGAATGGTAGCAAAGAACCCATGGTTAAAACCAGGTGTTGATTAGGGCTTGATCAAGCCGTCGTAACTCCTTGTAAGCGTCTTTCTGCCCTAGCACTCTCATACACAATCATAACCAATAATAATTTAAAAAAATATGGAAAAGAGGATGTAAACATCAAATTATTATTATCAATTAACAAAAAAATAAAAATAAAAGAGGCGGTTGCTTTGACTCCCATCACCTCATATAATATTATTCGTTGTGATATTTTTTTTAATAGAGTTTTTAGTTCTTGAATTCTATATTTTCTTTTTAGAAATGTTACCATTACTTGCAAATATTTTTTTAATACTAGAAGAAATTTGAGTTGATTCATGAGTTAGTCCAAGATATCTATTTAAGTTATACTCTATGAATAAGATAAAGGGACAGCAATTGGAGATCATCAAGTTGAGTAGGATGAATTTGAATGAATTCGTTGAAATTTTAAAAATTTGGCTTCACAAAGCTAATATTTGTTTTTTAAAAGTATAATAGTGATTGCTTTTTATAGTATTTTTCACTTAAAAATATATTAAAATATATTTTTTAAAAAAATATTTTTAATACTAACTCATTAAAATAATATAAAAACATAAAAAAAATAAAATTTTTAAAAATAAAAAAACAAACCGCTCATAATATAATAATTAACAAATTGGAATGGCTGAAATAAATGAATATGGTGTGACTTGCACAAACAAGTCTCTCATGTATTTTTTAAGAACCCTCAAATGCTTAAATTAGTGTGGTCGAGGAAGAGGGTGCCCTTGGTTAGCACATATCATCTAACCTTTCATATTTCCAAGCAATTCTTATTTCAGGGATCTACCACCCAAGTTAAACTCTATATATATGTCAAGGCTTTTGGTTACATGAAGACCACAGATCATCTAACCTTTCATATTTCCAAGCAATTCTTATTTCAGGGATCTACCATCTAAGTTAAACTCTATATGTCAAGGCTTTTGGTTAAATGAAGGCCAATATATAGGACGTAAGAAAAAAAAGAAAAGAAAAAAGCATCCATGTCTAATGTCTTAGCACGTAGGTAGGTCAAATAACGTAATTGAAATTTATTTATTTATTTAATATATTTATTTATTATTAATATGAGTATTTACATCAAGTTATGCATATCTTAATTAATCTCGTGATTCTGAAGTTAATAATTATATAAGCTTTTAGTAGTCTTAAAATTTATAAAACTCAATCTTGTGATTTTTAAAAAGTAAATTTAAAATTTAATTAGTTATATCCCATAATTACTGTAGTTTTTTAAGGAACGCTTGTGATTTTTAAAAAGTAAATTTAAAACTTAATTAGTTAAATCCCATAATTACTATAGTTTTTTTAAGGAATGGGGTTGGTTGGCAAGTGCATTTAGTATCCTTTCTACATTGAACATTTCAAAATCCCTAGATAGATGATGTATGATTATAATTCAAATTGTAAAGGAATTGTAGCCATACGTTCTTTTTTCATGCATTTAATTTGGATTGTGATATGTAGCTGTCATTGCAAGAAGATATAGATTGCATAATGGAACTCAGCCCTTACTAACATCATAGCATGCGTACAATACAAGCATATAACCATGAAAAAAAAAAGCTTCACTTTCAGGTCATTAATGCTATCAAATTAAATTGTGGTTTTTAGGTTCTAGGACGTGCTCAAATGTTCAACCTTGCTCTCAAGGTTGTCTATAAGAGGCCAATTGCTAGCCCTGATTATGCTCAAAAGATAGAGAGTTGATAGTTGAGATGAGTGGAGTTAGCTGCCCAAGCAGTGTCAGCTCGGCCATGCCTAAAGACTTGAGGCCTCATGGGTATAACCAGCATCAGGCAAGCAAAAGAGGCACCTGCTCTTGCTTCCAGATGCCACTGCATTACCCAAGGTACAAGAAGTCTGACTACGAGACCATGCCTGAGTGGAGATTGGACTGCTTGTTGAAAGAGTACGGGCTGCCTGCTATTGGAGATGCTAACCAGAAGAGGAAGTTTGCCATGGGAGCCTTCCTTTGGCCTTCAGAGAATGAGTGAAAGTCCTCGATTTGATGGTGATCATCAAATTTCTGCACATGCTATCATGTTGTACGTAACTCAGTCTATGTAATGCATTGTAGTAAGAAAACCATGTATTAAATAATTATTAGCATGTTTACGAAATCCATATCTTAGTTTTAACTGTTTTTTTCCAATTAAATATATTGAAGATTGCCGTTAAGTTGATAGATCAACTGGTATTCATGTCTCATTCTTCCTTCTTCCTTGTAACAAAATATATATATATAGGACAAATCCAACTCGCAGTCTCTAAAATTGACCTAGAAAGCTCTAG